AAGACTTGCATCCTTTCGACAAGAAATCTGCTTTATTTTGGCCATTATTTCATCAAACACTCCCTCCCACTTTTTTAAGGACTCTAATTATACATACAATTGGCCACTTTAAGTTGTTTTATGCCACATCGATGTTCTGTCCATTTATTTATTTTTCTTTCCATGTTTTATTTTTTATAGTTTCTATTGCTATGCCTTCAAGTTTTCTTGTCTTCTCTTGTGAAATGTCTAATCTGCTCAACTTCCCTTCAGTGCATTATTCATCTCAGACATTGTGTGTTCATCTGGAGAGGTTTGCCTTGGGTCTTTTTTCATATTTCCCATGTGTTTACTTCTCTTCTGAACATGTGGAATGCACTTACAATACCTGTTCTAATGTCTCTGTCTAGCAAAGAACATGTGTTGTGTAGTTGTAGGTATAATGTCCATGTTGGGATAAAAATTTTGTGCACTTGCTTAGATTCTCTATGACTCCTGCTCCTTTCTCTTTTGGTCAATGACCCATGTGAGATTAATTTCCCCTCTAGTACTGGGTGAAATACAACAGCACATCGCTTTACAGAAAGAGAAAATGACAGTCAACCTCCAAATTAAAGTATATTCTGAAAGCTAGAGAACCATAGGGCAGCCAGAGGGCAGGCTGCTGCAAGTCCGGCTGCGAATCCGATTATGAGGGTGGCAGAGCTGCAAAGGAGACCAACTGCACAGCCTCAGCAGTCTCTATGTGAAAGGGAGGCCCAGATAGGGAAAGAGCGAGACCCCGAGATTGGAGATTGGGACTTCCGAGTGGACAATCTAAGAATTTTGACCTCCACCACTCCAAGTTTCCCTGAGGCCTCCTGATGGCAGGATCAGCTCCTCCCCATTGCCAGGGGAAATTAGCCTCACCTGAGGTGGGTGATTTCGTTCTCCTCAGGACCTACCATTTGTCCCTCACTGCGACCAGGCTGACAGCCAAAGTCAAGTAGCAGTTGCATTTCCCAGATAGGGAAATGCAAACCTGCCCTGGGAAGAAATGCTTATATAACAAAAGAATTATAGGACCTAACTAATAATAGGACCGGGGATGCATGTGTAAAAGTGGATCTTGGGGGTGTCAGTTGGAAAAAAAGGTAGAATTTAAGACTGGAGAGGAGATCATTTATTGCTGTAGGGCATACACCTGACCTGCCCTGTTCAATTCACCCAGAGCTCCCTCTCTGGAGTTGAGACATCGGTGAGACAGATCAAGGCAGGTGACCCATCAGCAGGGCCCTTCACTCATGTGAGGCAGTGGTGTTCACGACCCTCAACACCCTCCCCAGAGCGGCCCCACCTACAACCTACACATGCACAGAGCTGGAAGATCTGTCCCCGCTGTCACTCTGAGTGTGGGAAAGGCCAAGGCAGGCAGTGGGATGGTGACGCTGTACTTTCCATGAAGGCCGAACTAAGAGGGCCCATCTCCATCCCAGCTTTTATCAGGGAGAGAAGGGGCTTCCCAGGGGCAGGCATTGTCTAATTCCCACACGGGGTCCCCGCGCACTCAGCTATGCTAAAAGCAGGGTGAGGCTCAGCTCCCTCCCCTCCAAACTTCTATCATCTTGTGACATGTGAGGCCATGACGCTGTGGCACTTCCCAGAGCCTGCATGGGAGGGTTCAGCCCTATGGAGCCTCTGTAAACCTGGGCCCTGCAGCTGCCTAACATTTGAAGGAGAGAGAAAGCAGTGGAAAGGCAGGTTGAATCAGCTCCCGGGGTGGGCGCTTCATGGATTTTTCTCGTCTTGTTTTTAGAGTAGTTTTGCTTGGTTGGTTTGTGTAACAGCGGCATTATGGATAGGTAAGGGTCAACGAAGGAAATCAGGGTGAGAGCAGGCTCACAGCGCCACTATCAACTTCCCTCCA